TCGCGGACCAACAGCATGTAGGAGGTTTGGGTGAAGGTGGGCGCGTTGTCATTGACGTCAGAGACCAGCACCCTAATGGTGTGCTCGGTTTTGAGCCTGGGGGACCCCAAGTCAGTGACGGTGATGGTGACGTTGTACTCGGCTCTGGCCTCTCTGTCCAGTGGTCTCTCAGTTTCCAAAGAGTAGTAATTCTCAAGCGACGGTTTGAGCACGAAGGGGAGTTCTTCCGGGATAGAACAAATCACTCTCCCATTGTCTCCGGAATCTCGGTCTAGGATACTGAAAACCATAACCACACTCTCGGGTGAATTTTCAGGAATTGGACTGGTAATTGATGACACAGTGACTTCGGGAGCATTGTCATTCACATCCAGGACCTGAATTCTCAGTGTTGATTTTCCAAAAAGTCCACCTCCATCTGTGGCTTGAACGATTATTGAGTATGATTCAATTGTTTCAAAGTCCAGCAGTGCTGTTAGACGAACTTCCCCTGACTTTGGATTGATTTTAAATGTCTTGCAAATATCTTCTGAAGCATGGGAAAAGGTGTATGCTATCTCCCCATTGGTTCCTGAATCTAAATCCAAAGCCGAGAGGGTCACAACCGGTGAGCCTAAGACGCTATTCTCTGGAATCTTCACCTCGTAAAAGGTCTGTTCAAATTCAGGGGAGTTGTCATTAATGTCCACAACAACTATCCGTACCAAAGCAGTCCCAGATCTGGGTGGAGAGCCCCCATCCAGAGCAGTGAGGACGAAACTGAGCTCAGGCTGCGCTTCAAAGTCCAGCGCCTTTTCCAGAACCAACTCAGGGTATTTCCTATCGTCCGGGTTGACTCTAATTTTAACGTGGAAATGAGAGTTGGGGCTGATGGTGTAGTTTTTTAGAGTGTTGACCCCCACGTCTAAATCCTTTGCACTTTCTAGTAAGAACACAGAGCCAACAGGACTATTCTCTGGGATTTCGAGAAGCATTTCTTTTTCCAGGAAAACGGGAGAGTGGTCATTTATGTCCTTGACTTGGAGCTCAATTCGAATAAACTGCAAGGGGTTTTTCATTAACACCTGGAAATGCAGTACACATGGTTGGGTGGAGCCACAGAGAGCTTCCCGGTCCAGCGTTTCACTTAAGAGCAAATCTCCCGAGTTTAAGTCTAGCTGCAAATGATGTTGTTTGTTACCCTTGGAGACCACCTGGGCCTCCCGGGAGGATAGCTCCCCCACCTCCAGTCCCAAGTCCTTGGCCAAATTGCCCACAAAGCTTCCGCTCTGCATTTCCTCTGCCACAGAAAAACGCCCTAAATCGGAGCCTGCCCGAGACATTGCTAGAAAGACAAAGAGAAGCAGGACTTGCCTTATCTGCAGAATGCCTCGCCCGCCCATCTCCAAAGCGCCTTTTCCAAAGACTTCCTGCTTCAGCACCACCTCGCAGCGGCGGGAGTTGTGCCTCGGATCTGTTCACCAAATCCTGAGAGTCTAAGACGTTAGCTCCGTTGAATGGCTTCTGGGTCACCTCGTAGCTGTTCTTCCTGTCCTCCCAGTTCACTGATGTGCACTGAATAATTGGCCCGATTGTGTCCACTGTGATTTTTTCCCCCTGAAGTTATCCTGCAGCGCCACCACGTGTCTCCACAGAGTTTTACAGTTTGATGAAAGCTTACATTCATATACACGTCCTCCGGAAACAAATATTCTTTTCCTTACTTGATAACAAATGTATTCCACATACCATCTAGCTTTCTTTTAAATTATCTATAATTTGTGATGTTTTTAGTATTTGTTCAAAACATTTATTAAACATGCTTCTCAACTCTGCAGAGAACCAAATATGGTCAGTTGTGATGAACATAGAAATACACTCAATGTTTCCTGGTCGCCAAGAGCTTAACATTTTTAGTTTAGAAGGTTAAAAGCAAGAGACAAGTAATGCATATTAACTGAAGGAAATTCTATCATTACTCTAGGAAAAGGAAAGTGTGCATGGGTCATATCAGGTGTTTCCTCAGTGGATATGAAAATGAATTATTATATGAAACACAAATGAGTGAGGTTTAAAAATCCTCGTGGAAAATGGAACAAAAAGTTACTGGAATTGTTTCATTCACTTTTTGGAGCCCCCTCCTACTAGTTGTTATAGCACAAGAAAAGATTTCTGTGGATTGCTTTGATAGTAATGAAGTAACTATTGGTATGGGAAATTAAGTAGTATGCGAATTCATAGTTTGTTTTCAACTTCTCATCATATAATAATACTTAACAAGTTCATAGACACAAACATGCCAGTTTTATTTAAAATAGACTTGTCCTAAAACTGGCTCCCCTCAGGATTTCAAGAATTTTTCAATGGTAAGGCCTGATTACTTGCTTCATCTTTCAGACAAGAAACACAATGGGAGAGAGTCTCTGCCCTACAGAATAGATTGACACAGTTGCTTAAAATATACTCAAACAGCAACAATTGTGAGTATGTTGCAAACTCTACCGTGTTTTGTTGAGGGTTCGTGAGTCAGAACTGACTCAATAGTACCTAGCAACAACAATCATTGAACACAGCACAGTGTTCATTCTGGGTACACCAAGTGAGGTCATGTGCCTGTTACTGAAATAATCTTTGTTTCAAGAAGTTTAGGACTACAGGTGGGATTCTAGTCTCAGAATCTGAAAATTCATCTTTGTCTCTTGCTTTGTTTTACTCTAGTCAGGGTCCATCCCTTAAACTTATGGTGGTTTCATTTTTTTAACCAAATTTCTTACATAATGAAGAACATAGTTGGAATAGAGACCAAAAGCCCTCCAACAATGTCTACACTAGGAGGTCCTAAAAGTACTTTCAAGAATATATGGAAGATTGGGAAGTTTGTTAAGTTATTGAATGCAAAAGTGATGATCTATTAGCAAACACCTACACACTTCACCATAAAAAGTATGGGGGTGTGAATGGAGGGAGGTTCTAACAAGTTTGCATTTTAAAATATTAATTTTAAATTATATTGCTAACAAACTCAAACTAGAAACATGGTTGAAAATCAATCAGTACAGGAGGGTAGAATTGAAAGGTAGGTGGATTGGCTATAGTTATCCTTCTTCCTCTTAAAATGTGCATTAAAATGATACACACATAAGAATGAAGAATACAAGTGAAAACACATTTTTTAATTGTAGGAAGCAGATGAAAGAACAGTTTAATTAGCAGTCCCCCCAAAATATCTAACATAAAGTTACTGAATTGTAGATACTCAAGAAACTAGTGGGTTTGTCCCAAATAATTATATTTAGGGTCAAAATTGGAGAAACCAGGAGCATAAAAAGGCTGAAGTCAAGTAGGAGGGAAAAGAAGAAGAAAAATAAAATTATAATTCTATAAGAATCTGCATAGCGTAAAGTTGGATTCTTTGGCATTCTTACCATGCTACATAAACAGAAAAGTAACACACAGCTAGAAAATGAAATTTTAATTCATTTTAGAAATTTAGTCTTGAGGAACCCAAGCAGGACTGAGTGCAAATGTGAGATGTGAAACTAAAAATTGGTAGAATTAAGCAAAAATTTTCACTTTAACGGTGAGATTGCTAGCACCTGCTTCCTGCTAAATATTCTCATTTTGTAGACTAGAAAGTATAAGCCAGAACTCCTTCTCACATTACCTTCATACATAGGATATTGTAGACATCTAACCTGAAGAATAAGAAATTCTGAGGTACAGAGTTCTGACATTTGGGAGTCTCCAAATGTAAATAGCCTCATATTGGTACAGTCATATTAGAGTGAAGCCCCTACATTAATAGGTCTTATGAATCTTTGCTGTAAGTTTTTTGACATTTAATTATTCTTAAATATAAGAAGACAACCAAGAACTGCAAGGTGTTTGTAGAAGAAAGTCCTACAATGTGGAACCGAAATATCAAATTAATAAAAAAGAAACAGTAGTATAGAAATTTTAAAAAGAAAACGTTTAAAATGTCTGATTTATATTCTCTGAGAAATAAAATATAACAAAATGTAGTACTTATTGAGTACTTACTCTATTCTACCTACTTTTCTAAGTATGCCATATGCATTTACCCATTTAATCTTAACAGCAATTGCATGAAGCAGGGATTCTTATCATAAAATAAAGTGTATGGCTAAAATATCCCTTACTAGTTAGATATATGACCTTGAGCAAATTCTTAACATCCCTGTGATTCACTCTCATGAGTAAAACAGCCATCATAGCTATTAGTGCACATGCACTTTTACAGAAAAATAGAGTAATAATAGGTAAGAAAAAGTACTGAATTTATAAATCTAAAATAGATACCATAAAAACAGAAGCCAAAAACAATTCTTAAAAATATTTGTCAGCTGAGAACCTCAAACATAAAAATTGGAGAATAAAATAAACTGCCCAGAAAGTAGAACAAGAGACAAAAAGATGGGAAATTAGAAAACAAAAATGTTTAGTCTTATAGAATTAATTCAGGTGGACCCATATTTCACTAATGAAATTGTGGTTAAAGAAAGAAAAAAAGTTAGGAGAGTAATTATTATTAAAACCTAAGAAAATTTCTAAGGACTAAGAGTGTGAATGGTAACAGATCCCATCCATGTGGTCAGACTTATAAGAACTAAGAATACAAGTGAAAACACATTTTCAAATGTGTTTATGTGAAAACACTAAGCCAAGAGCCTATAAGGGATAGGGTGCTTGATTAATAGTTTAAACTGTTGAATACCAAGTTGATATGAAATGCAAAACCCTACCTAATTTACAATAAATATATATGTTCTTTGTAAAAGAGCCTAATCACAGGTATTCAATATTCCAGAAGGATAAAGTAGCATGAGAGAAGAAAGGCCACGTTAAAAAAGTGATCTGAATCAGAATGGAATGAGTCTTCTAAACAGTAATTCTATATGAAGTAAAACAGAACAGTGCTTTCAAATTTGGAGGAAAGGGTATTTTTAACCTAGAATTTTATACCCAGTTAAACTGTCAGTCAAGTGAAATTAACAAAATATCACAATGCAAAGTGTCCCCCAAAATTTACCCCCTGTAAATGTATTTTTCTGAAACTATTGAGAAATGTTTGTCAGCTTAATAAGGGCATAAGCTAACAAAGACAACATGGGATTTTGTGAAAGATGGCTAATTCAGGAACTCTTAGAGAGTTCTAGGATGATGGCCAATCATTGAACATGGTTCAGAAATTTTGTGGGCTCTTTCTTGGTAAATGGTCCTCAGGAAATATGCAATTGAGAGAGTATCTGATGCCAATGAATATTTTAAGGAGAAACAACCACTAAGACAAAAGATGAAAAAAAATCAATAGTGGTTAATAGAAAATGATTCAACTACAAAACAGCAATCATTAGCTCTCGGACAGAAGCTCTTAAAGAAAGAAAATATTATCATAGAACACTAATGTGCATTCTGAGATATAGACAATAGCTACTGTTTTAGCCTAAAAAATTATAACTATTTTGTGGAAACAGGAGGAAGAGGATATACAATGATTTTATGTGTGTGGCAAATGAGAAACTTAAATCCTTATTTACAATAGCAAAATGATATTAAAGTACAAAGTTGAATGTCAAGATAGAGCAGGGTAGATATATTATTTAGAAATATTGAAATCAATTCTGGAAGAACTCACTGTAAAAGGAAATTGCGGGTTTATGAAAATAATCAAGAAACTATTTTACCTTGTTTTAAAAAATTCAATAATTAAAATAAATTTGTAAAATCAATTGACAAGTAAAAAACATTCCAACAGTTCAACACTGTCATATAGAACTTTTCAAACGGGTTTATTGATATTTCTTTTAATACAGAACATTACATTTTAATTATGAAACATAGAGCATAGGGAAGTAGTTCTTTGCCGTAGAACTAAAGATGAAATTGAAAAGTAAGATACTGGAATAAGGTTAGAACTATTGGTATGTTTTCTCACTGGACAAGTTGTTGCTCATGAGTTGCAGGCTCTGCTGTTTATGAGCAGAAAAACAAAGCCTCCACTTTCAACAATGAGAAATGAAAATAAATAAATCTCTGCATATTTTAAGATAATTATAACCTTAAAGCAATTTTATTCAGAAAGGGACACTAATTAAAGCTAGCTGGGGCTAATACACAAGGAAGATGAAATACTACTGCAAAAACAGGTCCACGGATATAGCACGAACTTTTAATGTAACTTCAACTTTTAAAACTAAACTAAAATCAACATGGGTGTACCTCCATATATGCACGAAAATACTAACAGATATTTTTCTATTGAATATTAAATCCAAAGCTATTTCTCAAGTTGGCGCTTTCTTCACCATTCCTCTCGGGCCTGGTGCCTGAATATTGGGCACAATCGGATTCAGGAACTTGAACTCGCTGGCCTCTGAGCCTCCCGTCAGACACACCTCATACTGGTAGCTCTGGGACAGGGTGCCCGTGCCACTCACGCCAA